ACAGGAGTACCAGAGGACAGGAGAACCAGAGGACAGGAGAACCAGAGAACAGGAGGACAGGAAGACCATAGGACAGAAGCACAAGAGGACAGGAGAACCGTGACTAAAATGACGACTTCTCTTGTCTCCAGTTTGTCCAAATGTCTCAGTCTCACACATCAGAGTCTTTTAAATGACTAAACGTAAATAAAATAAAACACATTTTTCCAAACGTCGTCATAATTTTTCTGCTCAACAGCTGAATTCTGTCTGCAGATTTAAAGAAGTGGACTGAAGTTTCTGATCCTACCTCCAGGACCGGAGGTCCACGGTGCTCCTGGAGTCCTGAGTCCTGGTCTTCTCCCAGGGAGGAGCTGCTGAGCTCTTTGGACGGGTGGAGGGACGACGTGTAGCCTGTGAGACGCAGAGAGACACGTCAAGAACACGGATCTGTCCTTTGAGGAAACAACTTTTTATATTGAGGGGTGGGGCTGAAGACTAATCTATGGGGGCCAAGGCCACCAGTGGCCACCCCCTGGCTCCTCCACTGCTCCTGTTGGTGGATAAATGGCTCCCTCCTCTCCAGGAACTGTCCCCTGCACCTCCTGGGACAAGAAGTAAAACCCCCTCTGTTCTCCAGAACCACAGACGTTCACCGTCGGTGTTTTTGGACCCAGACTGATTGGAGCTGTGGTTCAGCGGTTTTTGCAGTTAGAGTAAAATTATTTCTACTAACCGATCAGAGCATCCAGGTCCGGTGTGGTGTGGTTAACGTCTAAGACTTCTGGGACATTGTGTCCATCCGTCCTTCCTCCTCTTGTTTTGTCTTCCTCCTCAGTCTCCCACTCTTCCTCTCCGTCTCTCCTCTCCTGGTCCTCTCCTCCTTCTTCTCCCCTCTCTCTGTCCTCTGTGTCCATTCCATAAAGGCCAGATGCCTCCTGAGAGATGTCTCCTGCTCCATCATGTCCCACGTAGCCTTCTGGGCCCTGGGGGACCGCCAGATGAACCATACGCTGGAAAGACAAGACCTGTGGTGAGACAAAACCAGGACACCAGATGAAATCAGAGACATCACCGTTCCTCACCTCCATCACATCTTCCACATTAGGACGTCCATCCACTGCAGCAAAGGTCCTGGCTACTTCCTGGCTCGCAGAAGACTTGATCTGTGAGGGGTTCACTGAGTCCACCTTGGTCTGTGAGTGGAACGTGTCGTGGATCTCCGGCCAGCCCACATCATGAACCAGGTGAGGCTGAGCTCGGACCAACTCGTTGGCTGAGTGGCGTTTGGTTCTGACTAATTCTTGGAAGAAATGTGGCTTGACTGGAACTCCGCTCCCAAACTGAGGAGGACGGAGGGGGACGACTCGCTGGGAGGAACCAAAAGGTCCACAGCTGACCAGAAGAGCTGCAGGAAACAGAGACGTGAATCCAAAGTTGGCAACAAAAGAGCTTCAGAAACATTTGGTCTAAAAACACCTTTTAATAACAGTTCTCGAAGAATTTGGATTCCACGTCAAAAGATTTTAACGGCAGAACAAAAAATGAACAAATGACTCAAATGATTTTGATGGAGTTTAAATGATGACAGCTTATTTTATACATCCATCATTAATCCCTCTAACAGAACCCAGCTCTGTGGACTTCAG